GATATATCGATAGAGCTTCAAACGCTGATTACAAATATGGAAACTAAAACTGCAAAATGAACCTGCCAAGGAAGTTGTGAGCAGTCAAAGTTGGCTGGAAGTAAAGCATTACACTAGCCTCCGGGCTTTCAAAGTCGCCGTGGAGTAGTGGTAGTGCTCTCGGAATTTGCGCTCCGACGGGAGGAGAGCTTATGACCTCCAGGGTGAATAGCGAGGGCACCACCACTGCTCCGCGGCGACTTGAAAGCCCGGAGGCTAGTGTAATGCTTTACTTCCAGCCAACTTTGACTGCTCACAACTTCCTTGGCAGGTTCATTTTGCAGTTTTAGTTTCCATATTTGTAATCAGCGTTTGAAGCTCTATCGATATATCTGGGTCTCATCTCAAAGTTCCATGGGAAGTTGAATGCCTTTCCTGGTAAGTTTCCCATATGTATGAGCTTTTTGCAGTAACGTGCGCCACATATCGTCTATTCAGGTGCAGAGCTTTTGTTTATAACAAGCATAATTCCCCTTTTCACCAGGCAAATTATCGTGTCCACTGCCCCTAACCAAAAGATAATTAGAGATGTAGTGTAGACAGTTTGCAAAATAAATGGGTGCCTTACCCGTTAGAATCCACGACTGTGACTTTTGCGCTACCACCGTCATCGGCCACACACGAATGAACCTGAACATAGAGCAGAAGTTATCGTGTGTCCACCTGAAGAAGGGCAATGGTCACGTACCTGCATGCAGTAGATGCTGCTGTGAATCGGATCACCACATGTCCACAGATGGACGACAGAATCGCCAATAGTGACGACAGCCGGTGAGCTGGCTGCCGTCGAGGCGTTGGAACTCATTTCCACTTTATACTGGCACGATGGAAGTGGAATGGGTTCGGATGCTAGTGGTGACGGCGAGTGCGAGCTGAAATTCGGTCCAAATTTAATCAGCAATCAAAATCAATCAGCGACAGAGTGTGAGGGATGCTCATGGGACTTCCTTGTGCCACTTACGTTCATTTCTTAGTATACCGCTGAGGAATACCCTTGTGATTACTAATTACTGTTCGCAGGGATATTTGTAGAAGACCTGCTTGTTTATTTGGCTATTTATCTATGCGCTAAACTTACGTTCTCCAACATCGACAGAAACGATGAAGATGACAAGTATTAGAAAAAAACAAAACAAGGGAGAAGCCGACCACTACCGCTATCCTGGCAGTCAGAAAGAACAGTATTTGATGAAGTAGTATTGCGCAAGTCTAATGAAAAGGAGGGACAAAGGGGCTCCTTTCAGGATGCCTGTCGCGCGGTCGAGAAGGCATGAGACGTAGACGGGTCAGCGGACGAGTACTGTAGCGATTCACCGTTAAGGGAGATGTGATCTACTACATATTGCACGTCTTCTTTGCACAGTTAAACACTGCGACTCGTCCGCTGACCCGTTTGCGTCTCTGCCTTTTTCGCCAAGCAGCGGACCTCTTCCGATTACCCTGGACAAAAATACATGCAAATATGTATTTCGTGACGCCAAGGTAGCTATACCTTACGGCCACCGCCAGTGGGAGACCTCCTCCCGGGATCAGGTCACCACAATTGCGCGATCATTGAAGCTTAAAGGAATCTTCCGCGGAAAAAGCTCCGCCTCCATTACCACAGAAAAACGATACCCCTTAGGCCCCTAGCCTCATGAGCATAGCAAAAAGAACGGAACATAAGCGTTAGTTTCGATAATACTAATCCTACACACAAGACAAAATGATCACTCTTTCCGTGGAAGATTCCTTTAAGGTTAAGTTTGGGTTTAGACTTAGGTTAAGGCTTATGCTTACACATTGGCTTATGCCTAAGCCTATGATTGGGCCTAGGCTTAGTCCTAAGCTTGCTCCGAGCGAATGAACGGCGTCTCAATTTTAGGTGACCTGACCCAGGAGGAGAAACGCTACGCACCTGCCGCCACCTCATTCATTTGGTCCAACGATTTATTCGCAGAACATGCTCTAAGACTACGAAAGTTTGCCATGCATTTACATATTACTAAGAAAGCGTCCTTCGACGCGGAGTGTTTATTTTTATGAAATTATGCTTTGACTTACTTGACTCTCATCTCAGTCTGAACGATATTGTTGTCTTCTCGATAATAGC